TTAGATCAATTATTGATTTCACATTAACTTTAATAAAAAATTACGTATGCATATAATTATTCGCACTAAATATTTACTAATAACTACCAAATTATTGCTATTGATTTTTTCAGAAATCAAATAGCTCATCTCGGTTTTTTTTTATATATACCAAAACTATATGAAATAATTCATATAAATAGGGATTATTTCCAAACAAATGGTCATTTAGTTAAAATTTTTTTAATTATGTTATTTTTAGTATGTAATTAATGATCTTGTTTCTAAATTTATAAAAAAGTTATTCTTTTTTATAAAATGATAGATTAATCATGTATTAAAAAAAAAAAGACAAATAACGCAATGCTATAATTTTGGAAACATGTGTGAAATTTGTGAAGCTATAATTACGTTTTTTTTGTTTTCCAAAATCCATAATTTTTAGGCTACATTTAATGATTGTCAATTTGTTGTTTAAAAAAATTCAAAATATTTCCAAAAATGGCATGCAATTAATGTTGTTGGATTTTCTACTTACTATTTTTAAAAAATGTTAATTCTTTTTATATATATATAGATATAGATTTGTCCAAACCTAATTACGAAGCGTGATTCTTCGCCAAGTAGGATTATGAAGCACAAACCACGTAGACTCAGCACATTCGAGAATTATATACAGGGAGAAATATAGGGAGGATGTGGTTAAATTTTATTATTTATCTCATTTAAAATGTTAGCCTTATGCTAGTCATCTAACCATCACCACCATAATTTTTAATACATATATAATAGTATATATATTTTGGTGAATCGCAATCTAAAAGCTAAAACCCTATAAATTTCTGTCGCCTCATTCCTTTCACTTCCTCTCTCTTTCTCTCCCTCTAGAAATTTCCGGCGAACGGGAATGACAGACATTACAGAAGACGACGGAAAAATCAATGGCGGTGAAGCTGAGGAGAAGCCGCGAACGAGGCATAAGGGGAAGCACGACAAAGACAAGCCGTGGGATGACCCGAGCATCGATCACTGGAAAATCGATAAATTCGACCCCTCATGGAACGAAGGCGGCATGTTAGAAGTTAGCTCATTCTCTACTCTCTTCCCTCAATACAGAGGTCCCAAAATATTTTCTTTTGCTATACACTTGCTCCAGCTTAATTTTGATTCTCTTTTGCAATTTGGGTTAATTTTGGTTGGATTGATATACAATTGATATTGGATATTGGTCAGGTGTATGCTGTTTCTTACTCGAACATTTGCACCCAGTGCTGTTTGATGTAGTTGATTGAGGACGAACTATTGATTTCATTTTTTGGTTTTGACTGAAAATGTCTAATGTTACAATGGCTCACTTGGATTTAAAAGTGATGACTTTCGATTTTGGAAGTTCTATGTTGCTTTTGAAATTGTCCTTCTTCAGCTAGAGATGACTAGATTAATAGCTTTAAGTTTTTCCCGGTGATTAAAATTGTGTGAGGCGAGCCGAGCCAATATGAAAAACTGGAATAGTAATCTAAATGGGTAATAAGGAAAAAAGAAATACTGAAATCTGTCCCTGGCTTACCAGAAGCAACAGAAAAACTGAAAAAAATTAGTCGGACTCCAAAATAGCAGCAAGAAAACCAGGAAATAACAGGGCTTCCGGCAGCACTGGACATAAAAGAATCGACCAGAAAATACAGAATAGAAGGGGAAAAGGTAGAAAGAAAAAAAAAAATTGAGAAAAAGATGAATATAAAGAAAAAAGGGGAAAAGGCATAAAAGAAAAATGAGAAAGCTGATAAAGAAGGGAAAAACACACACTTGTCTCCAACGTCATTGGTCGATGGAGAACCGCCGGTTCTGGTTGCCTTGGTCAGGTGAAGAAAAGGCATCAGCTGATTAAGGGTTTTCTTGGACAGAATATGTATAATTTAAAAATGACATATCATGCCTAGAATCCTGATGTATATTACATGCTTGCGAGCCTCATTTCTTTGTGGCACATGTCTCCCCTCGCACAAGGTACGCATCTTGGCGACACCTTCCGCAAGGGTGCCTTGCGCCACCTTTTTTAGGCACACATCCTCACCTAACGCCTTTTGAACTTACTGCCCTTTCTATAGATGAACCAGAATCTCGTTATATAGGTCACAACGTAACATTTATATTTTTAACTCATAATGTTATTTTATACATTGTTTGACACCATTTTGGAGACGATTGAAGTATTATTACCGCAACACCTTAGCCACCACTACCCTTGAGTAATTTTGATTCCCTTTAAGATTCAAATATATTGGTCTGAAGCAGACTGCCACTCTTTTTACATGAATAAAGAGCTATTACTCGTATTTCTTTCACAATGCATCCACATAAGATTGCATAGTGTAATGTTCTCAAACCATTTGGTGACACATTGCTTCTTTCTGATATATTTTTCTACGCTGTCTTTGTTTTTGTAGAGAAATATTTGCAAGAGTGCTGGCCTGTAGTCAAAGGTGCCCTAAAAGAGCATGGGGTTGCTTGTGAATTAAATTTGGTAAGTCAAGCCAGTTAATATATGTTTGGTTATGTTTCATTCTTTCTCCACACAAGTACTTCTATTACTCCGTTAAAACCATTGAGTTGGAGTCTTAGCAGTTAGCATTTGGTAAGTCAAGTTTTTTTCTATTATATATATATATATATATATATATGGATTGAGGTATTTATTAATGGCTATGTGGTATTAGGTTGAAGGATGCATGACTGTTTCAACTACCCGGAAGACTAGGGATCCCTATATTATTGTTAAGGCTAGAGATCTTATTAAGCTTTTGTCACGAAGTGTTCCTGCTCCTCAGGTTCGATATTTTACATCATAGTTGTCTACTCTTTCTAATACAGAGATTGTTTTCTATATTATTGTTTTAATTTGTTGAAATGCATATGCTCTTGCTAGTTATCTCATCAAAAGATTTTACTAGAGCATAAATAAAGTTTACTGTTTAGTATATTTGTACTCGGTCGTAAATTTTCAACCAACTGAAGTTGGACCCCCTTTTGATACTCTTCATGGGTCATTCATCATAGGGAACAAGGCGACCCCACTGCTGCAAACCTCTGTAGAAACATATCTCGCAGTTCCATATTTGATGAGATTTTGGATGTTGTTGTTAATGTTTATTATTTTATCACAGGCAATAAAGATCCTTAATGATGAGATGCAGTGCGATATTATCAAGATTGGAAACTTGGTCCGCAGCAAGGTATGATATATATAATCACTTTGTGCATCTGTTTGTATTTGTTACTTATCACTGGCCCCTCATATATTAATGTGAATGACTAAAGTGGGTACCAAGAGAACATAAATATTTTTCATCTAACACTATAGCTTATGCATATACATATCCGATCTGTATCTCTCCTTTGGAACTTAAAGTGAATTTGCTGGCAAAATTATAGCATTAAAGATGAATTAGAGAACGGCAAGAACATAAAAATACCAAAAGTGATTCAGACACTTGGAACACAAAGCGTTTTCTGTTCGCCGCAATCTTGTGTGGGGTTCTCTTTGATCAAGAATCTCATCGTTTGCTTGCAGGAACGATTCGTAAAAAGAAGGCAGCACTTAGTGGGTCCCAATTCATCTACTTTAAAGGTATGCAATTTGATAGTTGTTTACTGATTGTGATTGTGATAAGATAACAGCACATGATTATGATATAGGATTAGCTATGGAGACTGCTATTTATTTATTTATTATTCATTTGTTTTTTGTTTCTTTCGGTAACCTGCTCATGTGATTTATGCTATATAGTTTTTTTCTCCCCCGATTCAAGTATACATTGTCATAATTCTTTGAAATGCTAATATAATGCAGGCACTTGAAATTTTAACTGGGTGCTATATTCTGGTTCAGGTGAACACTTAGAATGTCTCTTTATTTGAATATATAGAGAAATTTTTGTGATTTTCATTGCATTGATTGAAGGGGATTTTTTTTTCAAAGTTTTCAAGTCCTGAGTTGATGCTTTATAATTTTACAATAAGTAGGGGAACACAGTTGCAGCAATGGGTTCATTTAAAGGTCTGAAACAAGTGCGTAAGGTGGTTGAGGACTGCATCCTGAACAAAATGCATCCAGTATATAATATTAAGGTGAACAGTCATATTTATTCCTTGTGTAATATCGTTTCATTTTGGCTTTTTAATTGGGATTTGGAAGTTCTGATGTTTTCATGGATTCCGTGACAAAAGATCCTAATGATGAAGAGAGAACTTGCCAAAGACCCTACACTTGCAAATGAAAATTGGGACAGATTCCTTCCCAAATTTAAAAAGTAAGCCCTTCATTCTCCTTGCCATTAAGTCCTTGAATCGTCATCTTGAAGAATCCACTTTGCAGAAACTTTAGCATTTTACTTTTATTTGACTTCCAGGAAAAATGTGAAACAAAAGAAAGTTAAAACTAAAGAGAAGAAACCTTACACGCCATTCCCTCCACCACAGCAACCTAGTAAGGTGAGTCAATTGTCATTTTCTGATACTCTGATGTTGCTGACTTTGTTCCTTATGTGTACCCTTATTCACAAAACTAATCATTCTATTAATTTGAGTTGGCATGGTAAAATTTCACGCTGTAACTGGTTTTTCAATTTTACTCTGCAATTTTACCTAGTTAAGTAAAGGCAGGACGAAGTGCTATTTCATATTAATTTTTGAAAATACTTAATTGGATTGTTGTTTATGTAAGGGATTGACTTGGAATTGATATGATTAAACTTTTTGAGTAAAAATATATAGTACTCAATGGAATGGGTGCCTCACCAAAGAAAGTTATAGGAACTTCAGTATTGACTTAATATATTGTTGGCTGATGTTATAATGTTCTGAGCTTGTAGAAAATTCAGCTTTATTATGATTTCGAGATTTACTTTATGCACTTGCTCCATTTTACATTATTCGGGTTCTTGAGGACAACTTTTGTACTCATTTTACTGTCTGACAACTTTCAGATTGATTTGCAACTGGAAAGTGGTGAGTATTTCTTAAGTGACAAGAAGAAGCAGGCAAAGACATGGCAGGAGAAGCAAGAGAAACAGGCTGAAAAGACAGCTGAAACTAGAAGAAAACGTGAAGAGGCATTTGTTCCTCCAGAGGTTCGATTCAGGAACTCATGTCCCCTTGTTACCCATTGTGATTTTGTGCTTTTAATTTCATGTGATTTTTTTATTTTTATATTTTTTTTTTTGGCAGGAGTCTGAAAGACAAGATCAGAAAACACATGCTGATGACAAGAATGATGTTGCTGCCATTGCATCGTCGTTGAAGGTAAAACGCTACCAAATGCTTAAAAATATATTTGGAACATTGATTTTATTTGTGGTGGGTAAAATTGAGAAAGTAGGACGACTCTAGTCATTGGGGCTAGAGATGTAGCTAGAAATGAACCAAAGCATAACGTGTGAGATCCCGAATGACTTATAAGAAAGCTTCGATCTTTTATTTGGTATTTTAAGTTCAACAAAGAAGATTTGTGAATCAGCACATGAACAGGGAGGTAAGGAAGAGTAACGGTCACAAAGCATCAAGCAATAGTAATTCTTCCACTTTGTTTGGTAATTTCTTGTTTTCAATGAATCATAAATTCAAAAATGAAAATAATAGAATGAAGCCCTTGCTTGCACTAGGAAGGTGGTGTGTAAGTGTTAAGATTGTTGATGTGATTTTACCCTCAACAACTTCTGTTGTTGGTAAATGGTTGACTCGTCTTTCGATTGTGACTCCTGCTGAGTCTCCATTTTTTTTTCCAAAAGATCATATAACAATAAGGCTAACTAGCCTTAATCAATACAGAGTTTGATTACAGAGGACCAACATGAGTGGTCTAGAAACAAAAGAAGAAAACAACTTCCTGGGAAACAAAAGGATAGTAGATTAATAATTGAAATATCAGGCAGAATACAAACACTGGGACCTGTAGCACGGTTATCAACCCCCTTTGAACAGAACAAAGGCAGCACCAAAAAATCTAACCACTGTGTAACACACCTAGTTAAACCAACATCCAGGGCAAAAAAGAAACAAAACAACAAGTCATCTACACAAGAACTCAGTGTTTGTATCGATAACACTCATTTTTGGTGGATATGAGATTACTTTTGAAAGTAATACTTAGCTTGTTGGAGGATTATTGCTGAGTCTTTATATATTCTAGGATAAAGATAATGATACTACTCTAATCTTGGCGCAGGTATGAGATTACTATTAAAAGTAATACTTAGGATGTGTGAAATTGGGATTATAGCCACCCTTTGTGTAAGTTTGTGTTTTGGGCGACAATGCACCAAATCAATAAGAAAATAACTACATACTACCTCCTATTCTTTTTAAATGTCATTTTGGCATTATCAACTATTAACAATAAAATGTCGTTTTGGATATTTTGTACATATTTTTCCATTATTACCCTCATCTCGCTAATAAATACCTTACGTCTTTTCATATTCACTCTTTATTTTTCTCAAAACATTCATCTCTATTATCATTAATGAGGGTTTATTGGCAAAAAATATATTCTTAATAACTGTGCAACTTCCCAAAACGAAAATTATTATGAATAGGAGGGAGTATATTATATCTCCAATAGGAAAAGTTCTTTGGCATGGCCATAGGAACTTGAGAAATTATTTGGATAACGAGTATGAAATCCATCATCGCAACATCTGTATCTGTAATTCCGTGGTGATAGATTCATAGACATTATGATGCATGTGGTATATTTGACCCCTTTTTTTATCTCTACTGCAGAAAAAAGCTAAGGATTTTGGCAGGCAAAAATCGGCTGAGAAAATTGATGCAAACGCATATATTGCAGTTCCAAACAAGCATACCTCAAAAAAGAAATCAAAGCATTCCTAGACATACAGTAGTTTTATTTTTGTTGTATCAGGAGAGTTGGATAAATGATCTTTAAAAATTGATGGAAAATTTCCTTACACTCAAGACCGTGTTCGCTTCAGCATCTCCCCAGGCAAGCCGCTGGACTCTTTTTATGGGAAAATGTTTTTGAGGAAGTGGAGTTTATTTGGCCTCGTCTGCTGTAGGTTCTGTTTGAAAGAGCTTATCATCGTGATTATATTGTTTGCTACATGGTGGTTGTGTTAATGTAAACCGGTTTGAACTTTGAAATTTGTTGAAATTTGAGAGTATACGTTCCTGGATTGACATGACATCTATCCCCAACATGAGAATGGGAGCTATACCACCTCTTTTTGCTGTCCACATGTGCATATAATATCTATCATGAATCAGAGATCAAATAATGTTTTCTTTGATATAGATATTAAAAAAGCTTATGCAGACTTCCCAACGTGGTGCAAGCTTGTTCAGACTTGCTGGTAAGCAGAGAAGTTTGCATATGGAAGTTGGTAAAGTTTTGCATATGATTTGTATATGTCGGTTCAGTTTTCCTACTGATATCAAAGTTTAGCAGCACTAGTAAAGTGCGTGTGAGAATAATTTGTCCGCTTTGTGATAGTCTTTCGGATAATTAAGTAGTCCGTCTTATACCATGTATCACAGACCAAGAACTACGAGATCACCCCTTGCATTCTGGGGTGACGCAGGGATCGTATTGTGTAAACAAAATCAAATATCATTCCCAAATCTTGCGCAAGACTGAGGTCGTTCTGTAGGGGATAGAGCTAATTAAACTAAGTAATTAAACTAATTATAAAATGGTTTGGATTAGTAGATTAAAGGGATTTGAAAAATCGAGCAGTTTTAAGAGAGACATTGGCATCATCCGAGTATAAATAAGATGCAAATGACATTAGCAGTGCGTCAGTAACTCAATTGGGATTTGAAAATTCGAACAGTTCAAATATAACGTGTCAACAACTTTCAGTAGTAACTATATTAAGTAAATCATTTGCCTTGTTATACAGTGATAGATTTATAATAGAGGGAGATTCTACAGCCCGTTAATGAATCATTCTGTCGGAGTTTATAACCGTTAGATCAACTATCCGCGATGGTTACATGATGATCTAACGGTTATAAATCCCGACGGAATGGTTCCGTAACGTAACTGCATAACTTTATATATTACGACATTGTCCATGTAAATATTTAAAGATCGTCGAAAATTTTGCATGTTGAGAATGGTCGGAAAATCATTATCATGCGATCCATAGTGTACACATCAGTTTTACATGTAATGCATAACAACATTATTATGTTTTCATTCTCAAACAAGCAGAAAAACCACAAAACATACACATTCATATTGAATTAGCAACACCATATCCAGGACAGTTGACCACGTACTCAAGATCCTCCCAGTCTGCATGACTTAGCATCTCATCAATCTCACTATAAATATCACAGTTTGAAAAGGATGAAGCTGCCGGTGGAGCTTGATATACCGAGCTTAAACATTGGCCCGAGTATTCATTTTGAATATTTTGATCAGCTGTATCATCAACAATATGGCCGGAATAAATGATTTTCTTATGGTGATCCGTATTTTGCTCAACAGTTGTTAATGGTGGTGCACTGAAGCTAATATAGCTGCCTTTTCCGTTTAGGTCACTCGACTCCATGTTGCACGTTTCTGAACTTGCGTCGACTAATACTTGATTATTTGTTTTGTTAATTTTCTTCACAGCAAGCCTCAAATCGGACACATACTTTCTATAGGGCGCGTTGCGCTTTATTATCCGGCACAAGGTCCAAACTTCCTGTAAATTTATATAAAGGAAATGCAAATTATTATCGACTGATTTATAACTACATGCACTAAACATTAAAATTAAAATCGGGCGTGCAAAAACACATTTTCTTCTGGAAGTTGTTCAATTGCTAGGCAAGTCAATCTATTATATTTTTTTTTTAAATAAACATATATATTTATATCGTGAAATGTCATACATTTGTTGAAACTTGAAAGAATGTACATGTACATAAATTTTATTTTCTTTATATTTTATTTTTTGTGAGAATATATAGTTTGAAAAATAAGCATGCATATTCTCAAAAATATTATTGGATTCAAGACTAAATTATTACTGATTTTAATTGATGTGATGTTTCTTTTTTCCTAAGAAAAATAGTGATTATAATCATGTGATGAATGAAAACGATTGACCATTAAGACAATAATAGTTTATAGTAACCATAATGGTGTTTGGTTTTTCTCCCAAAATATTTCAAAACGAGACAACAACAAAATCTGATCCTTTGAAAATATGAAGCACAAAACTTCAAAGAATTAAGTAATCAATATATAACTTTCTTACAGCTTCTTGAGGATTAGTGGCCGTGGGGCCCACGTGCTTGGCCGGCAGCCGAAACTCGTGCATCATCCACTCGGTCTTGGTGCCTTTTCCGGCGCTGCCACGGTAGTAGACGAGGGACTTCTTGAGGCCTATGCAGTGGCGGCCCGAATGTATGGGCCTGTCGATGCCAGTCGCCTTCCAGAAGCCCGAGCCCGTTACCCTATTTGGCCTCACACTGTTCTTGTATTTTCTTCCCCTTTTGCAGAAGAAGTACCACTCTTTGTCTTTCTCACCTAAATTTGTGGATTCTGAAATTACAATAATAATTAATCAGAAAAAAAACCTTGTTTTACATGTTAAACTAAATTGAAATAGTACAGAAACATACTTGGAAGATCCCAAGGATCATATTTGTAGATATCAACCTGCTCGATGAGGTCAATGCTCATCGGCTTCTTCTCGACTTTCCTTCTAAGATAAAACCCTACGAGTTCTTCATCGGTCGGGTGAAAACGGAACCCCGGAAGTGACACCACCTCATGTTCTTCTCCTTCTTCCTCTCCCTTGTTGCTTCTCATCAAAGTTTTTACTTGCATCATGCTTAATGATTTTTTGAAATTAATCAATGGCCTTCTTTTTTTTTTTATAAAAAAAAAAAAGAGTTAATTAGAAAGTTTGGAGGGTTTTCTTTGTCATTGAAAATAGTAACATTATACTTCTTGAAATTGTGTGTATATATATAGAGGATGTTTGAATGAGTATGCAAATTGCACATGCACTTGAGGAGGAGCATTTCAATGATTTATTAATTTTATTATAAATTCTGTTGGTCAATGTTGTGACTGTTGACTTGTCTTATTCTCAAGGGTGCCGCCCGCTTTTGATAGAGTCTTATGGTTTTTGAACTTGAAGAAGAAGTCTCCTGTTTTTTTTTTGTTTTT